AATAGAATAGAATAGAATAGAATAGAATAGAATAGAATAGAATAGAAATGATGGGATGGGACAGAGAATAGACTAGACTAGATTAGAATAGAAATGATGGAAATGGGATAGAGAATAGAATAGAATAGAATAGAATAGAATAGAATAGAATAGAATAGAATAGAATAGAACAGAATAGAAATGATGGGATGATATAGATAATAGAATAGAATAGAATAGAATAGAATAGAATAGAATAGAATAGAATAGAATAGAATAGAATAGATATGATGGGATGGGATGGGACAGAATAGACTAGACTAGACTAGATTAGAATAGAAATGATGGAAATGGGATAGAGAATAGACTAGACTAGACTAGACTAGAATAGAATAGACTAGAATAGAACAGAATAGAAATGATGGGATGATATAGAGAATAGAATAGAATAGAATAGAATAGAATAGAATAGAATAGGAGGAATGGAATAGAATAGAATGATGGGATGGGATGGGATGGGATGGGATGGGATGGGATGGGATGGGATGGAATAGAATAGAATAGAATAGAATAGAATAGAATAGAATAGAATAGAATAGAATAGAATAGAAATGATGGGATGGGATCGAGAATAGAATAGAATAGAATAGAATAGAATAGAATAAGAGGAATGGAATGGAATGGAATAGAATAGAACAGAATAGATGATATGGAATGGAATGGAATATAATAGAAATGATGGGATGGGATAGAGAATAGAATAGAATAGAATAGAATAGAATAGAATAGAATAGAATAGAATAGAATGATATGGAATGGAATGGAATGGAATGGAATGGAATAGAATAGAATAGAATAGAATAGAATAGAATAGAATAGAATAGAAATGATGGGATGGGATAGAGAATAGAATAGAATAGAATAGAATAGAATAGAATAGAATAGAATAAGAGGAATGGAATGGAATGGAATAGAATAGAACAGAATAGATGATATGGAATGGAATGGAATATAATAGAAATGATGGGATGGGATAGAGAATAGAACAGAATAGAATAGAATAGAATAGAATAGAATAGAATAGAATAGAATGATATGGAACGATATGGAATGATATGGAATGGAATGGAATGGAATGGAATGGAATAGAATAGAATAGAATAGAATAGAATAGAATAGAATAGAATAGAATAGAATAGAAGATATGGAATGGAATAGAATAGAATAGAATTCTTGATTGGCCAAGTGTGATTGGACACACAAGGAAATTTGTCTTGGTGCATATGCTCTCAGTGTACATAAAAGAAAAGATACATTCATCAAGAGTCAAGAATCATAAGGTACAACACTTAATAATAGTCATAGGGTACTATAAGCAATCATAAATATAGGTTAGTTGCCAAGCATCTGAATTTTGATCACGTGACTACAAGGATGCTGCAACTGTCGTAAGTATGAAAAATGGTCATAAGTCACTTTATTCAGTGCTGGTGTAACTTTGAGCAGTCACTGAACAAGCAGCTGTTAAGTCAAGGACTACCTGCAATGATATATTACACTGTCAGGATTCCAGCTGTTACCCCCATTTAAATCACAAGTCTCGAGCCAAACTTCCAAAACTTCAAAAGGATTCATTGGGAGTTAACATGTCCGGCACTGCCTGGGTATAGCCGACTCTGAGGCACATCATTCATTGTCACCCTTGACCCTGGTTTCCCCCCTACCCTCTGGGTGTATCACAATTCATATTCTCCAATGGGATACATCCACAGCCCAGAGACATCAATCATGTTGTTCAGTTAGAATTTTGCACAGCAGAATTAGGAATTGCCCATTTAAATTGTCAAAGGCCTTCTGTGCATCCAAGAATACAAGGGCTATTTGTTTTTCCGGATGGGCTTCGTAGTATTCCAAAACATTTAATACTATCCTTAAATTATTCCTGATTTGTCTATTAGGAAGAAATCCGTTTTGATCTTTGTGTATATATTCATTCAATATTTTTTTCAATCTATTTGCTATCATTGTAGTAAATATTTTATAATCAGTATTTAACAGGGAAATTGGTCTATAGTTTTGTATATGTCGTGAATCTGAATCTTCTTTCGGAATCAACGATATCAATGTCTCCTTCCATGAATCCGGCATTCTTGCTGCTAATAGGACCTCATTATATACTTCCACCATGAGAGGTCTTATTTGTTCTATTTTTTTTATAAAGTTCCCCTGGGATCCCATCAGGTCCTGGGGTTTTATTGTTCTTTTGGTTTTCCATTGCTGCTTTTAACTCGGGCCACGTAATATCTCTAATTAACATTTCCTTCATCTCCTCCTTAATGATTTTATCTTTAGTAATACCCAAATCGTTTCTTATCATACCCTCATTTACCTCCTTCTTTTTATAAAGATCTTCATAAAATTTACATGCAATTTCTTTTTTCTGTTCTATCCCTTGTTGGGCATCCCCGTTCTCATATATTAATTGGTAGATCAATCTTTTTTGTTTTTCTTTTTTGAGTTTATAGGCCAACCACCTTCCTGGTTTATTGGCCTGTTCAAAAAATATCTGTCTGGCTGTATTTAACTTTGAGAACATTCCTTCTTATTCAATTAAATTTAATTTATGTTTAGTTATTATCATCTGTTTTTTCAATTTGCAATCTTTTGGGGTGTTTTGCAGCTGAATTTCTAATTCTTTGATTCTTTGTTCTAATTTATTTTGTTGGGCATATTTTTCTTTATTTCTTTTAGCAGTGTATGATATCGTTATGCCTCTTATTACTGCCTTCATTGTATCCCAAATATTCTGTTTCGTAGTTGCCTCATTATTATTTTCTTTTAAAAATAGTCTAATTCCTCGTCAAGTTTATTCGCAATGAGAATCACCTTTTCCACACCACGACTTGAGTGTTCCCACACTGGCACACTTCTCTACAAGATGCGTGCACCCCTAAGGGTCACTCCAACAGCAAGAGAAGATAGCATGAAACCCAGAGCAAGCTTCAGCACCTCCGTTCGCCCATATCTTGTCACGGAAAGTCTATCTGAAACCACCTTCTACTTACAATAT